AGGAAGGAATCTGGAGGTAGGAACCCCAGCACCGGTAGTCCTGGAGAGCAGATATCTTTGCAAAGCTCCTCCAGCCCAAGGGTTCACCATCCTCTGGGCACCTTAGGTGTGGTGTGGCTGTGGAGGGCCAGTCTGGGTCCCGAGATTGTGCTTTCATCCAGAGGGGACAAACGCTACAGGTCCTGCGGTGCGAAGCTTAGTTGCTCAGTCACGGAGGACTCTGCGACCCCATGGACTGTAGCCCACCAGGCTCCTCTGTCCATGCGGATTCTCCAGGCAAGGACACTAGAGTGAGTTGTCATGTCCTCCAGGGGATCTTCCTGACCCAGGGGTTGAACCGAGGTCTTCCTCATTGCAGGTAGATTCTTTACCATCTGAGCCACCGGGGAAACCCAGGAATCCTGGAGTGGGTAGGCTATCCCTTCTCCAGGACATCGTCCAAACCCAGGAATCCAACAGGGTCTCCTGCATTGCAGGTGGATTCTTTACCAGCTGAGCCACCAGGAAAGCCCCCACTACAGGTCCTGCGGGGGCTCAGTTGCTGGCATATCCCTCTCAGACCCAGGACAGTCCATCCTTGCACCCAGGGCTGCCCTGTCTCCAGGGATGTGGCCGCAGCCAGGTCACCGGGCCCTGAGGGCGATTCCTTTTATTTATCACAGTGATGCTTACTTTTACTGAAGTATAGTTGCTCTCCAGTGTTGAGTCGGTTGCAGGGTACGACAGCTTGAAGAGGTCTGCGGGGATGAATGTCTGTCTTTCGGGGATGCTTTGCGTCTCTCGTGTACGCTGAAGGGTTAACGAGGTCTCCCTGTGCTGTGCTGTAGACGCTGGGCGATGCTCTTTCTGAAGACACTTGAGTGTGTGTGTATTAATCCCAGCATCCTGATCGAAGCCTCCCTTCGCTCTTTCCCCTTCAGCAATCCTGAGCGGCTCTTCCAAGCCTGTGAGTCTCTGTGTAACTGAGTTTTTGGTGTCAGTTTTTTAGATTCCATCTATAAGCGATACTGTACGATATTTGTCTTCCTGTCTCTGACATAATTCACCTATAATGATCGCTGGCAGGTCCTTCTCTGTGTATATATCCCTGTGTAAATATCCCAGACCCTGTGGTGTCTGTGTCTTTAGGTTTTTAAGGAAACTCCACGCTGTTCTCCACAGTGGCTTTTAGCAGTTTACGTCTTCAGCAGCAGTGAGGAAAGTTCCCTTTCTCCTGGCCCGCTCCAGCATTTACTGTTTTTAGACTTTTTGATGATTGCCTCACTGACAGTTGAGAGGTGATCCCTCAGTATAGATTTGATTTGCATTCCTCTAATGATGTACAATGTTGAGGATCTGTGTTAGGTCCTTTTTTCTTTTACACAGTGAGTAAAGTTACCTGTTGAAATTGGCTTCTTAAAAGCCTGCCCTGTTTTGAATTGTTATTCTATTATGTACCCCAGCCATTTCTTGAGGGAAGGAGTCTTCCAGTGCCGCAGACCTTGAGAGTTTTAAGTGCCCTTGTGCACCAGTTTTAAAGTTGCTGTTACTCAAAATGGCCACAAGGAGGCAGCATGTCTTCATTCCCGACTCTGCTTATTGGGGCACCGTAGACTTACGGAAAGTACTGCTCTGGGTTCTGAATGAGGGTGGAATGTGCCAGAACAAACACCCACGGGTTTGCGTGTCATTACTTCTTGCCCCTTTCCCTTCACCAGCCAGCCCCCCACCCCAGACAAATCCCAGGCTCTCAAATCTGTTCTGCTGAGGTTTCTGTCAGTATTTGAGAAGGGCAAGCTACTTAAAGGAGGTATCACCTGCCACCTGTCAGAACGGCCATCGCGTAAAGTTGCCGTCAGTAGATGCTGTAGAGATGGGAGCCCTCCCACACTGTTTGTGGACATATAATTTGGTCCAGCCGTGTAGGAGTGCATTATGGAAGCTGCTTAAAAAACTAAAAATAGAACTACCATATGATCTAGCAGTCCCACTCCTGGGCATAATTCGAAGAAGATTCATGCACGCCTGTGTTCTTTGTGGTGGTGTTTACAACCACTGGATGTAATCAGAGTGTCGATGTAATTGACAGAGGAATGGACAAAGGCGATGTGGTACACATATACAAGGGAATATTACTCAGCCATTAATAAGAGTGAAGCAATGTCATTTGCAGCAACAGCGATGGACCTGGAGATTCGTATAAGAAGTGAAGTCAGTCAGAGAAGGAGAAATACCATATGATGGTGCTTACATGCATGTGGAATCTAAAAGAAAGATACAAGTGAACTATTTACAAAACAGATACAGACTCACAAGAGCACAAAGTTGGTCCCCGGGGGGAGTGGTTGGGAAGTGGATTGGGAGCTTGTGATTGACATGTGCACACGCCTCCAGATAACTGACAAGGCTCGCTGTGTAGAGCAGGGAACTTGGCTTAGGATTCTGTGACAGTTCAAGTGGGGAAGCTGAAAACTAGTGGATACTTGTGCAGGACAGGGAATCCCTTCGCTGTGCACTTATAGCTAGCACCTCATTGTTAATCAACTACACTCCAATGTAAAATCTGTTGTAAACAACTTGAAAATTTTCAAGATCTCAAAGTAACATAGAACAGGGCAATTCACCATTTTAATTAAAGCAAATTAGAAATCCGGTGGGAGGCTCCTGTTGTAAATTACAATCTATTCATTTCCACTCCTCTCTTCCTATTTTTTCCAATGATGGGTTTTAAAAGCTAGCAACATATGAGCTAATAAGCTTAAAGAGTAGAATACTGAGGTAGCGAATGCATTTCAAACAGTTGTAATTATCTTTGGCAGAGTGTAGTTTTATCATTACAGTGGTTTATATGGCAAAATATAAAAATATATTTTATGTAAGTCAGTGCCTCACACTCTTTTACTGTCATTAAATCTTGGAAGCTTGACATAGATTATTTTGCAGTGCTAATTGTCTGATTCACAGACTAACATGAAAAGATTGAGTTTTGTGTCAAAATACACTATGTCAAGTGATATGAGAAGAGAACTTAAGCCTAGTAGTAAAAAGGTGTATTTTACTTCCATGGAGTTTGCAGTCTCTGAGATGAAGTTATCCTACACTCATATTGACATGAGTTCCTCTATTTCATTTTTAATAGTTTCTCCTGTATAATTAAAACCTGAGTGACCCAAAAGTAGCATTTGCTAAGGGATATAAATATTTCTAAAACTTTCTTTGACCGCTTAAAAATTCTTACTAGTTTCTTTCTCCCGAGCAATTGCAAAATTTACTAGAATTGCCTTCATTTTAGGATGACATTACATAGAGTAATAATGACACACGATAATAAAGACCTACAAAAATCACTCCACTGTAGTATTATACATGTATCTGTTTGTCAATAATTCACATCTTTCTAGAACTTCTTAATCCTGGCACAAGAAGTTTTTTCATTAATCAGATCTCCAGGCAACTTTGTGCTAACGTTAGACATCTTCAGCATAATATAAGGCAATATAAATTAGGTGATATGGCAGAAATAATTAAGTGATAAGAACTTCTTATGGATCTGTATTTATCAAAAGGTACTGCACCCTCTGAACAGTATCATCAAGCAGTGTCCTAAAGAATGAATTAGTGTATGGGAAAGGTGTATTGTGTTAAGTTTTCCCTGTTCTGAAAATGGTTGAAGATGAACACATACTATGACCCAAGAATTCCTACAGAACTATAACTAATTTCTAGTTATATACCCCCAAAAAATACATATGTAAGTTCACCAAAAGACTCATTCTAAAATGTTCACAACAGTAGTATTCATAATGAGAAAAATTTACAACTGTATACACGCCCATCAATAGTAGAATGGATATGTAAATGGTGGTATGTTTATATCAGAAAGCACAGCAGTAACAGTGAGCAAATTGTGATGGATCTCACAAACATAAATGAGTGAAAGAAACCAAGCATTAGAAATGCATGTGGTTCTACTCCATGCATAACGTGGGGAGGGTTACTGAGATTCTGAGAATGCTTTGTCGCTTGATTTAAAGGTTGCTTACGTGGGTATTTAATCTGATTGTGAAAATTCAGATATCTGTGCACTTATGCTGTGTCATCATTTTGCATATATGATTATTCTTCAGTATATAATTGAAGAAAGTGGCAGAAGTAGACTGAAGATACAGGTCAGAGGAAATTGTGTGCGTTATTGCAACACCAGAGCAGACTGGTTGGCTGTCTCACCTCCACAACTTTGGGAAGAAATAGGAACCAAGCCTTGGACTTCAAGTTCTTCAAAATTTTGAATACCTAGATAACAAGACCTATGTCTATTTACATTTTCTTTTAATAGTACCAAGTGCTTAGTAAACCTCTTTGTGATGATAACGACAAGAGCTGTAGTGGTTGGTGTTAATTCAGCATTGTTGTCATTTAAAATAAGGGGAATCATGACAGATGAGCTGCTTTAAACATTGTTTACATTTGATATAATTGAGCAACACATAGCCTGTGCTCAGTAACATCCACTCAGAAAATAACACTATTAGCACAAATGTATAAATAGACTCTTGAGAGTCCCTTGGACTGCAAGAAGATCCAACCAGTCCATCCTAAAGGAGATCAGTCCTGGGTGTTCATTGGAAGGACTGATGTTGAAGCTGAAACTCCAATACTTTGGCCACCTGATGCGAAGAACTGACTCATTGGAAAAGACCCTGATGCTGGGAGGGATTGGGGGCAGGAGGAGAAGGGGATGACAGAGGATGAGATGGCTGGCTGGCATCACCAACTCAATGGACGTGAGTTTGGGTAAACTCCGGGAGTTGGTGATGGACAGGGAGGCCTGGCGTGCTGCAATTCATGGGGTTGCAAAGTCTCGGACACAACTGAGCAACTGAACTGAATATACATCTTACTGATATCATGTGTGACTGGCATAGCTAAAAACAATGTTTAATTGGCTTAAACATAAAATGATGATCTGGTTGGCTATTCTTTACAGATAAGGGTATAAACTACCAACCTGTGCTTTGCAGGGGACTGTTATTTGAAGGACTGGTCTTCCTGGAGCCTGTGTCAGCTGACCTGTGTGAACGGCGAGGACCTCGGTTTTGGTGGAATACAGGTCCGTTCCAGAGCGGTGATTATACAAGAACTAGAGAACCAACATCTGTGCCCAGAGCAGAAGCTGGAAACAAAGTCATGTGACGGTGAGTGTGACCATTCATGACACCTGTTTATTTCAGTGTTGTGTTAATAAGCAAAAGAAAAAGTGTAAATTTTTCTGTTAGATAAGGAAATTTGCTAAGATCTCACTTTTAAAAAGTTGAGAATTAGGTTAAGGGTATGATTCTGAATTCTAAAGATTCAGAGAAGAGTCTTGCCACCCTTCATAAGTTAGGTATGAAATACTTAAAAGTATCTCTAAGTTTTATGAGTTAAAGAAAGCTAAGATTCGGAGCATGTTGTTTGTACATACCTATAACAATCCTGATCCAATGTGAATCTAAAAATATCCTCAGTTTATTTAAACTGAAAGAAAAATTACAAAGAAATAGCAAAATGAGACATTTTACTATATTCTCAGAAATTGATAAAGTACTGGTAAGGATTGGTCTGAATTTTGCATACAGAATATATAAAAATATATGTTTATGTGTCTGTGTGTATATGTGTGTACACAGAGCCATGCATCCAATATAAGCAATACATTACATTTACAAAAACCACAAAGCATTATTGTTACCTAGCGGAGAATGTCTTGCTCAACAAAAAACCTTCTTGCCCTTGCTTATGTTCTGAAGTAATTAAAGAGCATGACATATATTAGTAAAGAAGGGCCAAAATGTGTATTACTGAAAAGTTGAGGAAAGCTTAGAATTTTGGAGAACAATGCTTAGAATAAAAGCTACCTGAGCCAGATGACTTAACCCAGGAATTATTGAATTATCCACCTTATTGATTACATTTTCTCAAATTTACCAACCATATTCTGGGGACAGGGTAACTAAAGAAGGAGAAATAAGACAGCAGTTACAATAGATGAGTTAATTCCCAAGAAAAGAAAGAATTGTTTACCCCATAATGATAATTAGGAATCAGCAACAACAATTTCAAAGAAATTCTCTCATGCACCCACAGAACTAAAAACTGAACGCTAGATTTCTAGAGCATTAGATACCAAATGTTATGCAGGGTGCAGCAGGGAAGTATTTAGAAGGGAATTTAAAGCCTTACGTGCTTATACAGGAGAGAGAGAAGTGTGATATAAGCTTGACTTTCAACTCGATTTTAAAAAAAAAGAAAGAAAAGGGAGATAGAGTATAAGCAATACAGATAAATACAAATTCAGTGAGATAGAAAATAACCAAGATAATCAGTAAAACCAATAGCTTGTTTTTTGATCAAACAAAGTAGACCACTCATGGAAAACTCAATGAAACAAAAGAAGAGGACAAAGTTATAATACTGATAGTGTTTAAAAAGTATAATTTCTGTGAATACATTTTGCTAATAAATATAAAAACTTGACAGCTATTTAGAATGTTATTTATTGAGAGGAATGGAGAAGCAAACCATAGATTCTGTAACATTAAAACCCAAGTGTATCAGATAGGCTCACACATGCACACACGCTAAAACCTAATGGCTTTAATTTTGAGTCTTACTAAAAATTTAAACAACTCCCATTTATGTGAAATCTTAAGAAATGAAACAAAGTTAGGTAGGAAAAAAATGAGAAAAATCTCCCCAGTACAACACCAAAATCACAAACAAAAATAGTAAACAATAAAAAATACTTTTAAATCAAAATTTAAATCCTCTACATAGTGAAACAGGAGGAAGCCATGACAACCCACTCCAGTACTCTTGCCTGGAGAATCCCATGGACAGAGGAGCCTGTCAGGCTGCAGTCCATGGGGTCGCAAAGAGTCAGACGCGCCTGAGCCCTTGCACGTGGTAAAATAGATCATAAACAAGGTTACCAGACAAGCCACAGACATAGAAAATATATTTTAAGTCAATCTGAAGGAATTAGTGTCCAGAAACTTTTCAGCATTCCAAGACAATTTCACAGTTGCAAAATTGTGGAGGACCCCAAATGGCTTTTCTTTGATGTATACATATCAAACTTTTGCGTGCTGAAAAATGACAACTGTTAAGTTTTTAAATATTTGATAACTTGTTTAAAACAATCACAAATCAATTGTATGTTATCATATTTCCCGAAAAATAACTTTTCCAAAGCAAAAAGAAAGTAACTTTAATGACAAGCATGGTCTTGTTTTACACTTTTTCACATCTCTGTAACACCTGGCTTAACAGAAGACAGCTGGATTCTCTTATTTGCCTCTGCATTCAGTATATTGCCATCTTAGTTTAGTTTCTGTATGTGAAGGAAGTCCAGGCTTACTTACCCAGGTGTGTAGTTAGAGGGGAAAATCCTCACACACATACTCTGAGGGAACGCCAGAGGCATCCCTGGTTCCTGGACCATCATCTGAGAACTGTTATTCTAGAATCAAAAGTTCCCACAACTCAGAAAAGGCATAGATTTCAGTAGAAGGGTTGGAGAGAACCAGAAGATACATATACGCAGTTCACAAGAGGAAATCTGAATGCTACAAAACATTTTCCTTACTGTTTGATAGCTTTGGTGATAGCTGCAAGTTAGAATGACAAGATAGCTTTCCACACCCGTAAGACTGACAAGAAATTTAAATCTGGAACTTATAAATGTCTGTGAGGGTTTAGAGTAATAGTAACTCTTATTCACTGCTGGGGAGTATGTAAACTGTCACCATTTAAAGAAAAAAATGAGCTGTGTTTAAGTTTCAGCTATCTGTACAGTAATGCCCAGAAAGTTCCCTTCTAAATATTTACCTTAAAGAAGCACTAGGAGGCTTGCACAGGGCTGACCACTGAGCCACTGTTGTAATAGCATAAACTGAACACAACCTAAAAGTCCACCCATAGAGGAAATAAATTGTGGTAGTTAGTATCATGGAATTCTATGTAGCAGTTAAAATTAATTGACTGTGTCTGTATTAAAAAATCACATAGAAATATTTCATCTATAACATTGACTATTAAGTTTCAAAAAGATGTATCATGTGTCAGTATAATGCTTTTTAAATTTTAAAACTGCCTAAAAATAATGCTGTAAGTCATTTATGGATTACATATATTTTTATTATAGTTATATTCAAAGAATAGAAAGCCTGTCACAGAAATGCTTGTATCTACTTCAAAATAGTCTATATTGCAGGACAGGCATGGAGGGAGATCAGGAAGGAATATAATAGGACATCAAGTTTGTTAGTTTTTTTAACTCATCAACAAAACTAAAGCAAATATGACTAAATGGTAATATTTGTTCAAATTGAATGATGGGTAGTTGAATATATTTTTTCAGTTATTCTCTGTCCTTATTTGTATGTCTGATATAATGCTTTAAATAAAACATAAATTTAAATTGAAAATCTGGGTTCACATCAAATAGTATGGTAGCCGACTTGGAAAATTAGTTGGCATTTAGGCATGCATCTGGAATTTTGTAACATCTATATGGCAACTTCAGGATGGTAACTTCAAGTTTGAATCATTCAGGATGGACTTCTTATCCCTTTTCAATTGTTTATAAATATTTTCTTAATACCTGTCTCCATGATTGTCCCCCTGGCCTGCAGAATGCCTCTGTTAATGTGTCTTCTGCCCCGCAGATGGACAGTGTTATGAGTATAAATGGATGGCCAGTGCTTGGAAGGGCTCTTCCCGAACAGTCTGGTGTCAGAGATCAGATGGTGTAAATGTAACAGGTAAACCTTCCATTCCTCTTTGTTCTTTGAGAGTCTTCCTATAACACACATGTAATTGGTTAAAGGAAATAATTAAGAAAACAGATATTCCTTCAGTATTCCACATGTGGTTGAATTCACGACACCTGAGCTGTGTACCTGATGACCAGTGATACATTATTTTACTTTTAAATGTTTCAATTAAATTCCCCCTCACCCAGCCATTTTAGAGATCATTGTCTAATTCTAATAAATTACAATTATAAGTAAATCTCCGATTGTTTCCTTAAAAATCTGATACATTAATAACTTACTACATGCTAAAAAGTCAGTGTTTTGTTGACTATATCTGTTTCTATGCCTTAGAGGCAATATATGCAGTCCAAAAATATTGCCAAGAGAATGTGATTATACAAACCCAAATATTTTGCTTAAATTCAGAAATCTGTGACCTCTAGTTTTTTTTATTAACTAAGATACAAGACCTATTGGTAAAACTCAAGCTCAGGGGATATGAGTAGGCACTGTACCACTCTGTCCCCACTCAAAGCTTATTATACGTTGAAAGGAGACATCCAAATGAGGAGCTTTTTTTTTTTAATTCCCTTTGACCCAAACAGACACCATAGAATTAATCTACAATTACTAGAAGTTTCCTTATCTATGTCCAGTAAATACAAGGGATCCCAGAGACCTTTGAAGAGGGAAGAAAACTGACTCCAGAGATAGAGTGAGCCACCCTGCAAAAATTTCCATATCAAGGAACTAAGGTCAGAACAAGAACCTCAGCATCAAGCCTGTGGACCCAGAGATGGGTCCCTGGTGTCTGAAACAACGTGTTTGTGGAGATCTGTCCACAGGACTCTGTAGTGTAGCCTGAGGGTTGCGCGTTAACTATTCAGGGGACCTGCTGACTTCCTGCCATTGTTTTGACCCTCTGGCAGAAAAAAGGTAGTGTGCATTTTGGTGCCTCTGAGTAATATCCTTTTGTAAACTTAATTGTAACATCTACAGTAAGAGGACAGGATCAGGGATCAATATGCTTTTTGGAAAGCATAAATTTTTATATTGAATTTTTAATTACTTGGATTTACAGAAACCTAATTATGCATTTCCAGCCTATGAAAGCTAGAGCAGGATGTCAAACTGTATTCTTGTGAAGATAAGATTTTATACATGAGCAATCTGGGATAAGCAACACTTGATAATCGCAACTCTCAGTGGACACATCTGTAATAAAGACAAGACACCTACCAGGAAACCCTTTGCTCTCTGATAGTGTCATTTTCTGGAAAAAAAAAATGCAAGCAAGCCACTGTCAGAGGTAACGGGGAGAGGGAGCTCTGGGAAGAGGAGCACAGGCTTTCTGAACCTGAAGACATTAGAGATCTGGTCCTTCCCAGGTGGCAGTCGTGGCAAAGAACCCGCCTGCCAGTGCAAGAGATGTAAGGGATGCAGGTTCAATCCCTGGGTCAGGAAGATTCCTTGGAGGAGGGCATGCCAACCCACTCCAGTATTCTTGCCTGGAGAATCCCATGGACAGAGGAGTCTGGCGGGCTACCGTCCATGGGGTCACAGAGTCGTCAGACACAACTGAAGTGAATTAGCATGCATGGATACCACTCAACTCAGGTGTTGAAAATGAATGTCTACCTTCTTCTTTAAACTAATCGGGAGTTTTACAGCTTTCCCAGCGAATCCTGTTAGTTTTCAGTGTTTTTTTCTTTTTTTCCAAATATGGATGCAAATAATCATTGTCTGACTTTTATTCTACACATTACAAGTTCTTTTCACACTGAAATTGGGTCTATTCCCCAATATAAAGGTAAGTCAAATTTTAAAAGACTTACCTGTAGAAATCATATTTTCAATTTCTTTTCCATATAGTAGAGTATCCCATGTATTTATCCCCATCTAAAGCTGTTTTATAGCAAAAAAAACAAATTGTGTAAATGATTTGTGATAAAACACTATATGCATTCTTCTCCCATGTTTTAGGAGAGATGAGACTGTTTATGGGAAGTAGACAAACATGTAAAGTATGTTACCTACCCTGATCGATTTTATGAATAGTTGTCCTTACAGGAAACTCACAATATTTTCCTTTGTCTTCATGTGTTTAATGCTAATAACTTCAGTACAGCATGTCACTCCAGCTGCCTTGCAATGACTAACCGCTTTCCCATAACACTTTTTCTGCGAATATTTTGTTTATAATGTTAAGTGATAAGGCAGGGAGTTAACACCTTTAATTAGATTCCAGAGGATCATCAGTTCCATAAATAAAGGAAAATTTTTGCTTTGCTAAAATTCTGTGAAATTGATCAAGTATGGTTTGAAACTATGAGTTCTTTATGTGCTACCAGTTCTGTTTCTTAATGACATCTAGTCTCGTCTTGAAAACTTCATTGTAACAACTGTGGCATACCTGGTACTAAACTCCAGAAGGAGGAGGAAATAAGAGGGGTCACTGGTGAACTGCAGTGTCAAGTTAAAACAATAGTGCAGACATACCACTTAGAAGCTGCATTTGTTTTCTTACATACCAAAAAAAAAAAAAAAAAAAACCTGAATTAGTGACTTTCTCCAAAAGAAATATGTATTATAAAAAATCCATTTACAAGGTTGTCACATAAATCAAAAAGGTATCTTAAGTTGAAGACTGTTTATTCACAAAACAAGGAAAGAATTTTAACTTTAAAAGAGAATTAAATCTGCATTTGAATGTTGGACTTGGTCTCAGAAACTGTGACATTAGCTTGCAGACAATTAGTGTTTTCAAAGTATCAGCTATAAAGTCATCTAATCAACAGGTACTTACTGAGCACCTGCTGGGGTGGCCGTGCTGTGTCCTCTGAATGAGAAGGGTCTCAAGTTCCTAAGTGGTCAAGGCTAACCAGGGGTTCCAGTCAGCCGCCCTCGGAAGTCTGTGGGACTGCCAAGGAGGTTCAGGATTCAAAGACCTGTCCACAACAATGGTGTATTTTTTTTTTTAATCACTGCAAGAGATGCTACTTATCAGAATATGATTTTCTGTTCTGCAGGGGGCTGCTTGGTGGTGCGCCAGCCTGATGCTGACAGGTCTTGTAACCCACCGTGTAGTCAACCCCACTCACACTGTAGCGAGGTATGTGTGAATTCACTAGAGTAGCATCGTTTGTCACCACACTGCTTCTGGTACAATCCATCCTCCCTCACCCCGAAAAATGTCTTGAGGCATAAAAATTCTATTTTGGGACTTCTTCTTTTATCAGTATAAATAAATCTGAATGCACTTCCTTCTACCATTAAAATAAATTTGTATAAGGTACCAAAAAAGTGTGTTGTTTTTTACAAAGTGGTGACAGAAATTACGTGGAGTAAATTCCCAGAACAGCACTCCCTTAAAGCCTGCCCTTCAGGTCAGCTGTGGTACACGTACAAAGATCACCTCGCATGTACAGTGTGAGTCTTGTTCTCCTGCAGACAAGGGTGTGCAGCTGTGAAGAAGGGTACACTGAAGTCATGTCTTCCAATGGGACACTTGAGCAGTGCACTCTCATCCCCGTGATGGTGGTACCCACTGTGGAGGACAAAAGAGGGGACGTGAAAACCAGTCGGGCAGTGCATCCGACCCAGCCCTCCAGTAACCCAGCGGGACGGGGGAGGACCTGGTTTCTGCAGCCGTTTGGGCCAGGTGAAGTGAAACAGTGCTGATGCGGGATTCTCTGGCTGTATATTTAACCAATAATGAGCAAGCATTTTCTTAAGAGATAATTATGTCATCTAAAGTCATTTCTTTTGATACTGTCTTATATTCTTATAATTTTTATAACTATTATGAAAAAGGCAATCATACTCAAAATTCAGAGAGATGAATCTGCTCTCTTCTGAGAAAAATTCTAGGATTAATAAATTTCAGTCATAAATTTAAGATTATTTCCACATTTATTAAAGCAATCTAACAGTGAAAATATTAGGGGGAAAGTGTGTGTTGTCATGCAGAACTAGAACAAATCAAAACTATGACAAGACATTCAAGAATTTTCCATCTGACCACAGAGTGCTAAATATTTGAACCCTAAATAGGAAAATCAGTAATTCAAGGGACGCTTGGCAGCCAGAACAATTTCTGTCAGTGCTTGAAGCTGCACACTCAAATACTCAGAATCTGTACTAGGACCAGATACATGGGGACAAGGCGTGGAGCCTTCCCGTCTCAATGGGACAGTCTCAACTTGGAGACTGACCAGACTCATGGCATTAAACAGACAGCTCATAACGTATCTAGTAATGGACTTGAAGCCTGGAGGCTGATCACATTCTATCCTTACTCTGCACATTCGGTCTCCTCAGTTGATTCAGCCATATACTCATTCCTGGGACTAAGCTGGTGCTTAAAAATGTGCCACGGGAGCTATATGTAACTCAGGTCATGCCACTTCTCATACCCTAGAGGGATCACCACTTCATGACCAAAGGAAATTGCCAGGCAAAGCAAAGCACAAACTACTTCCTAACTCCATTAGAAACTTCAGAAAGGAAGGAAAGAATCTGCGTAGCTAGCACAACTGTATTTTTAATGCATGGAGTCAAAACACTTTACCTTACTGGTGAGTCACTATTGGGATTTTTAAAAAGTATTTTCACTGCTTGGGTGATTCATATATAACCACATCACCCCTGACTTTATTAGATTTTGATCTGAAGATAAAATTTATTTTGTAAAGCTGACCTGTCTGTGTAAGCGTGGGAGGCTCTCCTCAGTGTCCAAGATGGCAGACCAACAAATGGCCATTTGCAATCTTGACCTTAACCAAGAATCCAAGCAGATCTCCTCATATAAAAACTGTTTTTTAAAGATAACACATTATTATTGTCATTTTTCATTTTATACTTTTCCTAAAATGAACATTTTAATGTATTAAAAAGGTATACATTATAAAAACATACAATTAGACGTTGCTCTTGTTTTCTGAAAAACCCAAAAATACTTGTTGAACTTCTCTCAGAACAGATAAACCTAACAGTAGAATAGTTCTTTTGATTTTGAACTCACACAGTTTTTTTAAATATTCAGAATTGAAAAAAAAGAATATCTAGAATATTAACTTGGTTTATTTCCAGCATATGAATGAACTCCTAAGTTGATCCAGCTCTAGGCAAAAATCATCATCATCATCATAGTACTGATTTGCTTTTGACATCTTTCAAATGTTGGATAAACCAGAGTCTCTGTGGGGTCAGTTTGCCCAATCTATAATTTCAATATTAAAATTAATGTTTAGCTGGTTGGGTATAACAGAAAATATATGTTGGTGTGAAGAACAAGTTAGGCAAAATCATTAATACTATCACCCATTTGAAGTTTATGCAGAATATAAAACAGAAGTTCAAAGAGAATGAGACCAGAAAACCAAATTTTAAAAGTTCCTGTCATAAAACTAGAAAAAAAAGTTCCTGTCTTGTCTGATTCCATAAATAGAAAAGATAGGAAAAAAGTTATCTTGAGAGTCTTTCATGTGTTAATCAAACTTGGTTATTTTTACAAATGATATTGTCAAATTAGTTTTAAGGCACACTACACTCTAAAGTATAAACTAGATAAAGGATTATTAATTCCAAAAATGTTAGATGTATTTACTTTCAATTCATCTGAAAAAAATATTTAAATGACAAAATTTACGTTGAGATACCTGTCAGCATCAAAAAAGTTGTAGGAATTTCTTGAAATTGCATTATTTTCTTCCTTTCTCACAATTGACATTCTGAAGATAGAATGAAAATCAGAAGAAAAGATTTATATAGTGTAACACATATGTTGAGTTTAAAGTAAAATCCATATAGGAAGTAGTAGAAATTTAGACATATTAACTTGAAATCTGAACTCGAATCGCAAAATTATTTATTGTTTTGCAATTCAGTTTTCATTGATAATTTATCTTTAATGAAAGAGCACCTAACACATAACAATAGCAGCTTTGCATTAATCATTAACTCTGCCTAAGCAATAATTCATTTTGCATTTTTGAAAGAACTTGGTCATATGTGACTGGTCGTTGGTCATAGTTAAAGACTGTAATATATATAGCAGACTAAGGTAAATTAATGACCAATATCTCTTCTTCTTAGATGGGAGACTAAAGACCTGGGTTTACGGTGTAGCAGCTGGGGCATTCGTGTTACTCATCTTCATTGTCTCCATGATCTATCTAGCTTGGTGAGTGTTTAAATATTTAAAAATCTAAGGAGATCTGTTTCAGAGGAAATATTTTCAATTGGCCATAACCAGGAACAGCAATCTAATGTCTCAAATAAGTATTCCACATTTATTTAGGGTTCAGCTGAGTTTCTGAATAAGCATAGATGAATAGTCTAAAAACCACTGAATCTGAACCATTTAATTTCTGAATATGAGCCAGAACTGCCCCAGGTCATCTTCACAAATTGTTCCCCCTGGTTATGTAAGCACCATGTATTACTTTGTATACTTAGAGTGAACTGTACATTTTTTATTAAGTTACTGCTGAGGAAGAGATTATGATAATACCTAATTCAACTGTCTTTTAAAACATAAGTTGTATTATTTATAAAAGTTTGTGGACAAATATAAATGACTATACTATAACATTATTCCATTATTAGAACCAGAGAAATTATATCTAGATAGTTTATCTTTTACAGGATAATAACATACTTGAAGGGTTCTGGTTCATGTTTACTCAGAGCATAAAACTGAGGAATTCAGAAACCAGAAAATTTGGGGGTTGAATTTAGAAAGTGTAGGCAATTAAGCAATTTTTAGGTTTATCAGTGTTTCAATTTTTTTTTCATTTAAAGCAATAAAAATTACAATTGAAGATTTTCTTTCTCACAGTTTTATTAATTTTTTTTTAACAGCAAGAAGCCAAAGAAACCCCAAAGAAGGCAAAACAACCGGCTGAAACCTTTGACCTTAGCCTATGATGGAGATGCTGACATGTAAGTCTTAACTTACCCTGCAGCTTCCAATTTCAGCTTTCTGCCTTTGCTGTAGATGTCCAGAGGCCACAAAGCTATTCAAACTGTGTGGATTAAACTACAGTGTTACTTCTTAAAAGATCATCATTAAGGAAGGAGTGAAAATCACAGTGCCATTGGATATACCAAGACAGTACCACTTACATCGAAACCATCAGCCCTGAGAATTCTAGATTTAGTTGATACATGATGCATTCTGAGAGTTTTGTGTGATCTTTTCTGAAATCTACCAACGGATAAATTCACCTTCATCTCTAAAAACATGATGGTGGGATTGACCAGTTTAGGATGCCTGATACAAGCCTCTGTCTGCAGTGTTAAGCCCTAGTAACATTTTCGCATGAAGAGTTTAATACCAAAATCTCTACACTACTGTATTCAAACATAACAACATGCCTACTTAATTGAATGATACACATTATTATGTCAGATTATATACTTGTTAATAAGCAGTTTTAATGGTGGCTAAAAATAAGCTCTAAACTGAGCAGAAAACCCATTGAATAAATTCAACATCTTGGTGGTTGATAATAGTTTCACTGAGCTGCATTTCAGAGGCAAAGACCCTTTTGTAAGACTTCTTGTCTCTCTCCAAAGTGCGAATGCTGGACATGTACTAGTACTTTAGAAGAGTCCTCAAGTTCAGTATTTTACAATGGTTATTGTCTGGAAAACTAATTTGCTTGTGTTAATACAGTACATTTCTACTTTCCCTAATTTTCAAACTGGTTGCCTGCATCTTTTTTGCTATACGGAAGGCACATTTTTGCACTATATTAGTGCAGCATGATAGGCGCTTAACCAGTATTGCCATAGAAACTGCCTCTTTTCATATGGGATGAAGACATCTGTGCTCAAAGTGTCGTGGAGCCATTTACAAGTTCTTGTGTCCTGAAGAGAGTAAAAGTTCAGCTGGGATGGCGACAGGATGGAGTTAGCTGTTATATCTGCTGTGTACATACTTCCTCATCGCTGCAGCCATTGTGATATCAACAACATGGCGATAACTTAAGTGTTTAAGTCCCGAACTCATTAACCCTCCAAAAGATGGATCCCTCTAGTCAATTTCTAATTGTACTCTGAAGGCTGTTTATGACTAGATTTTTATATTTGTTATCTTTGTTAAAAAAAGAAAAGAAAAGAAAAAAAGGAGCTGGTGGTCTTTTTAATTTTGAGCGGATGGAAAAAATAACTTATTGGTGATTTTTTGTAACTAAAAGAAACCAAAATGGTTTGATTTTTTTTTTCTCCCAGATTTGTTTTCCTACTTTCAGATGGAATGTATTTCAAAATCTATAGCTTAGTTTTTCTCAGTGGCAAAATTTGAAGCAAGTCTTTTTAATGTATGATATAAAAAACTAGAATTTTCAAAAGAGAAAAATAAATATTTTGTCCAGGACCTCATTAAATATCTAGACCAAGGGTAGCACATTTTTTTTTCCTTTATAAAGGTCAGATGGTAAATATTCCAGCCAGGCCTATGTTGCAGCTTGTCCATTCTGCCATTGTGGGAACACAGCCATAGACAATACACAATACAGCACAGAGAGAATGAGCATGGCTGTTTTTCAATAAAACTTCCTATAAAGTCAGCAGACCACATTTGCAAGTTGCGATTTACTGGTCTAGAGGTTTTGTCCAGTGCTAATTCTCCATCATGTCATCTTGAGTTTTCAGTCATTTGCCCTCTGACTGTGATCAGTGTTTAATTTCAAAACCGAAAAACAGTCATTAAATGTCTTAATGTATTGCAGGTAGTTATATTTTTCACAGATGTAGCCCTGGGAATGGCACAGTAAAATGATATCTAACTTGGCCGGTTTCTTGCATATGAAAAGAAAATCCAAAAGGTGCCATTAAAAAGCAATACCATTTTTCAGGCAACAACCTTTGGGAGAGGGGAGGACATCAGATGTTCAGGTCTCTTAAAAAAAAAAAAGTATCACAAGCCATTTTATCTTAAACATAGCTGTGTTGGTATACAAGTGATTAGGACTAGAAGGTATTTCACCTTCGTACTAGAGTTTGAATTCACCCTACTGTTCATTCTAGAGTATCTGCAAAGATTACAAAAGGTAGATTAGAATAAGCAGATTTCTACATATTTCAATAAACATTAAAGGTGGTATTCACTAATACCTTGGTCAGTATTTCCTGTGTTAAGTAATGTGTAAATCATTTCTGAGCAAACAGGTTATCAGGAAAATGAGAATTTTGCCTTATACCAAGGATTTCAACAAGGAAAGGCATAAAAACAAATTCCATCTCATCTGTCTTACTAAAGAGGAAGACAAAAATAACATTGTCACCCTAAAACTGTGATTGTCAAAAAATGTACTCAGGGGTCTCCCAGATAATCAAGTTGATTTATTTGAGTAAAATGAGCTCCCATTTGTCCAAAATGGTTGAGAAAGAATCTACTACCATTACTTGAAGAATCTTGCTAAGTCTTATGAAATGCATGCCACACCTAATACTCTTGAAATTGTTACGACTAATGCTATACTTATAATACTGTAAAATGGCATTCATTCAGAAAGCAGATAAGTTAAAATTAAATGAATTCATAGGTCAAAATTATGTTATGAAAATGCAAGGTGACCTTATTCATAAATTGACTACCTTTTACAACATTACATGTATGAAGTAATCTAGATTCAGTGTGACCTAATATTAGGGAGCATATTGGAAGTTCATCATTAGGATAAATAAATACCAGATGGCCTCTTGTTAGGAAAGGTACAGGGAGGCTATTTTGGACAAATGAAGGTTACTATATTCATGTTTATAACATGAAAATGGCCTTATTTTTGTTCTTGGCATAAGTCAATAATGAGTTAAGTACTTTACTGGGATTTCATCAAAACAGTATTCCTCCTGTTCATTCTAAGAAATCAGGAGGGGAATATAGTAGTAACTTGTCTATTGACACTTTTGCCTTACCAAAATGGTCTGTGAGCCCACAAAGGTTAAGAATCACTGTTCTGTAAGTACGAAGGTCTGCTTGGTTGGAAAAAAAAAGAAATGAAAAACATTGGCACAGTGTTATTTTGTTGGACTGTTTCCATTTAAACGGCATAGAAGTGGCATAACTGATCTATCTTGAAAGGGGATGATTTGTTCATTCATCAATATCTAGTCTAGGAAACTGACCATAATCCTTATTTCAAAGCCTTTTCGAGGACACTACAGTGTAGCTTAAAGCTAATTTGAAAAGGGGTTCATAAAAGCATGTTCTTAATTATAGCAAAGCACAAAGTACCTGTAATAAGACTAATATTTATTGAATTATCACACGTAAGACACTCTGCTAGATATTGTAAAATATTAGTAATGGCTTTTGTTTACACGCATATCTAAGATGTTCAAAAGAAGGGGAAAAGCTTAATGAGTGAAAATGAAACACACATTACCCCTCACTCTAGATCTGGTATTCAGACTTGGTTGACATTTTTCCTTATGTGATGTCTGTGTGTCCGGCCACGCTGTCAGGCTTGTGCTGTGTGTCTGCTCCACCCTCAGGCAGGTAGCAGTGGCTCCAGCAGCTTAATCTGAGCCCTCTCAAGTTCCTAGACATTTCAAGACAGTCAGTTATTTAAAACTTCTCATAGGAAGCAGGTAACACCTCTCAATTTTTTTAAGCTCCAACTCGCTGTATGCCCTTGCTCCCTTACAGGGATGCCCAACGCCTGGTCTCTGTCCAGTCTGCACTCTTAAGCAACAACTAGTCTTGTCTGCTTCCCCCAGAGCCACCTTCTGCTAAACATGCCTGCATTTTTAATAAGAAAAGAGGTGACTACCCATGTCTCTTTTCTGTTGGAGTCAAAGTGTTGCTTAGAGAGTGAACAGTTTGGTTTAAACAGATTGTACCAGTCAAAGACGTGGATCAAGAAAGGAAAGCTGTGGAGGACATCCCCCCACCCTACCCCACAAAAAGACCTTGCCTGTAAAAATGTCAATCCTTACCTTAGACTTAGTCCCACCCAGTACTCCCCCCTCCACCAGCCTTCCCCTGTGTCTGTACGCGTCCTACCCGACGAGACAGCAAGGGAGGCCTGCAGCTCTCGAAACGGACGAAAGAGCCAGTCCCTAGGCTCAGTCAAGGTTTGCATAGACTTGCAAGAATCAGGCTTCCCAGATGGCCCAGGGCCTCACTATCTGTAAATATACTATCAAATTAAAATGTGTTTCTTGTTCTGTTTCGCCTCTAAGCTTGAGGGTGGTGAAAGAGGAGCAGTCCGTGAACACCTCTGTGAGGAGTCAGGTCAGACAATGATCTTCCCTGGGTCTGGTTGAGATGTGAGAACGGAAATTGCTGCCTGTCCCCTCGGGTGCTGCCCCCTGGTGGCCGGAGCTAACAGCGGATTTCAGGGTCTGAAACAGGAGCGCGGGCCCCGCAGACGGGACTGTAAAAAGGATATTATGCAGTGTGATTCGATAATTCTGCATCTAGCAGGGACACCGAAAAATGGTTATGTCTACGTTGTTAAATGAGCAAAACAAATGCTAAATGGGTAGAGTTAATTTTGTAGCTTTATGTTTTTGTGCTTCTACCAAGCCTGATCTTAAAATGGGCAATTTTATGAAGACACTTAGTTGTGAGAGTCATGTTTTCAGCGATCAAAAATCTCTAGTCTATTTAGACTGTCCTTGGGTGTCAGTCTTCCTGTGTTTTGTAGATTTTTTTTAAGCAATAGTTTCTAGATCACCTGCTTTGAACCCTCACTGAGCTTCTCCCAACTATTTTTCAGGACTCTATTTATGTTTATTTTTTTAAAGTAAACATTAAGATTTCCTTTCTGGTACCTTTTTCTTGCCTATTTTTAGCACAGAGATTTTGAAGCGATCAGTATCTGTCATTGTAAAAGATAACTTTATTAAATTTGCAGTGTCTTTCTATAAATTATAACCCCCTAAATGTGTTTTCTTTTTGGTTAATTTAATTACCTGAGTATTTATTTTGTTTAAATAAGAAGGCAGCTGTCTAAGAAGTTTTTGTTAATATTACTTTGTAAATTGTGTAATGTAATTTATTTTAAATTGTGTACATTTCTTTTTTAATGCAAAGAGAAAATTATGTACAATTTACTACAGATTTGCAAATACTGTCACTAAGCTTTACTCAGTTAATACAGATGGCATGTGAAGATGTAATATGCTTTTTTACATTTTCATATGGGTTATTTGTAAGTAACTGTTGCTGATAAACATAAACACGGAGATCATTTTCATTCTACTTGTGTGTATCTGTGTTTTAATTTGCATCATTTGCTGCTGAAGTGTGGGTTGACATATATTTTCAGTGAAAAAAACATCTTTTTACTATCATATTGCCCTCTCCTGGGTCTTTTTGTTTGTAATCCCAATTTAGAAAGTTTGAGATGCAACCCTTTAAGTGTATGCAGAAGCCACAGTTTAATCATCCTGGACAAAGGACCTCTTGGTTTCCAGCACATCACAAGGTGGGAAGCAGCAGGGGACGCTAAGACCCGCTGGAATACCACGGCTCAGCGCCTCTTCCCCCTCAGTCAGAAGGCAAGCCGCTCCCCATCCCTCTTCCCTGTGTCTGCCGGGAGGAGACTAACCCTTAGAAAGAGGGTAGAAGCTCATGCTTTAATAAATTATGATTCCTTCACTCTCCAAATCAAGATGCATATGTAACAAATTCAGAAAGGGATGCACAAATTAAATGAATCATTGCAATTATTGTTAGGGTAGCTTGCAACTAAAACATTTTTTGAAATCACTATTTGCTAAAATATGACTAAGGAACCCATTAAATATAGTATATAAAGCTCAAAATATACAGCTAGACTCAAATGCTTGATGAAAAAACAGTGATTTGCAAGCTCCTTAGTTTCTATCTTATTCATTACAACTGATTCAAGAGAAGAATTTTTAAAATAGCTGACGTATCTCTAGGTGTTTGGACATTCATAGTCAAATCACTAACTTCATTTTTTTATTTTGCGACTCTAATTTATGTCCTGCAAACATAAATATGAACACGACTAGTCTACATTTTGCTGGTAGGTCTGAGTCCCCAGTGAGTCCTTTCATTACACACCAAACAGACTCCAAAGAAAAGCCACCGCACCACACACTACAATTTACAGGCCTTGTCAGTGTCCGTTACTCTGAAAACAGTTTGTCCATACAGAAGTGCTTACATGCAGTCAGGCTTTCTGATGTTGCATTTGTTTGTTTTTTTTTTTTTCCTTTTATTCCAAGGATCACTCCCTCTCCCGATTTCCACCTTCTACCGTAGCATCTCCCTGCCAAGGGAACTCAAGTTAACAATCTGATATGTATTCAGCCATGTTTTTCTCCTTGACCATATAATCTTATGAATATGATGGTGACAGGGGTGGAAAAAGAGAAGACATAAAAATGAGTTAAATTTAGTAGATACAATTGGAAAACAGCTTCATTTCTTTTCCCGTTACTATTTCAAACTTTGTCCTCCCCTTGGCAACACCTAAGGCAAATCCCATAGCTTTTTGGTCACTTTATGGAAAAGTTACGGAAAAGACTCAATCCCGGCTAGAACAAACATCAGTCTGTCTCATGGTTTTTCATTTCTTCGGTGACTAGCAAATTTGAACAACATCTGTCTTTCCTGTTGAGTTTGGTCCTCTCTTACATATCATCTTTAAATGGCAATTTTGGCTATCCCAAAGTAGTTGTTAATTTTAGGCCATCAACGAAATTTAAACTTTTGGATAAAGAAAAATTTCTGAATTTTATGTCTCCACAATCTAGTTTTCTAGCCCACGCAGAGATGATCTTAATGAGGGCCCATGCCTCTTCATTGTCCCCAGCTCTCTGCTCTTTCCTGAGCATGCTCACCGTCTTCTCTTGATGGCCCTTGAGGCCAGCGTCACATGGAGGTGATGAAGTTGGAACCAAATCTTCTCTTAAAACCACACAGTTTCCTTAGAGCTCTGCCCTTACTGTTCTCTCTACCTGGAACACTCTTCCCCTTGATGTAAGCCTGGCAGCTCCCTCACTGCATGCAAGTCTCTGCTCAAATGCCACCTCCTATGAGAAGTCCTCCTTGACTAGCTTTATCCCTTTTATTTCCTCTTGCCCTTTTTTATGTTCTTTGTGGTCCTGATTTTATATATCTTTTTGGCCTGTGGTTGTGTTTTTACTCTCTCTCAGATACACATGAGAGAGGCCAAGTCTATCTGTTTTGTTCCTCACCTGGAATCAAGTCCAACAATGTAGTAAGAACAAAGTCTTGTTGGATGAATAAGTGAACCAAAGAATTAGTGAACTGTGAGGTTAATGTACAGAGTCAGTAAGGTTAATTAGCAGATCAGTTATAAAGAGGGCCTCCCTGTGGCTCAGCTGGTAAAGAATCTTCCAGCAATGCTGCCTGGGTTCAATCCCTGGGTTGGGAAGATCCCCTGGAGAAGGGAAAGGCTACCCACTCCAGTATTCTGGCCTGGAGAATTCCATGGAGAAGTCCATGGGGTCGCAAAGAGGGACACGACTGAGCGACTTTCACTTCACACTTCAAGGTTACTTGACCAACTAATTCATTCAAAGCTTCAAGTTGTCAGTTCTCTGTCATGAATCATTTTATATTATTTCACTTGCCAGAAATACATTCACCTAAACTACTTAGAAAGCACAATATTGTGACATGCGAAGAGCAGTAACAGAGCAGGCAAAGAAACTGTATCAGTAATGATGAGCCTGGCATCAAAGATGAGTGACAGCTGAGGACATGCCAGCAAGATGTGGGTTACGGGATTTGGAAACCTATCTTGAGAATGGAGTCTGTAAAAGAATACTTTCATAGCTTTCTCTTATTTTCACTCCCATTGCATGGAAAATTCCAGTGGGAGACGTGAGTGAGCACGGAATACTGGAAAATAAAGGAGGCAGGTAATCACAAATTTCTAAAAAAAAAAAAAACCCTTGTTCCAGGATCCAAAAGCAGCCTGACTCTCCTACTAAGTCTTACACTGTATTGATTTACTTTATGGTATAATATAATACCAATAATATCTTGAGTGTCCCTTGGACTGGAAGGAGATCAAACCAGTCAATCCTAAAGGAGATCAACCCTGAATATTCACTGGAAGGATTGATGCTGAAGCTGAAGCTCCAATACTCTGGCCACCTGATGCAGAGAGCCGACTCATTAAGAAAGACCCTGATGCTGGGAATGATTGAGGGCAGGAGGAGAAGGGGACGACAGAGGATGAGATGGTTGGATAGCATCATCAGCTCAATGGACATGAATTTGAATAAACTCCAGGAGATAGTGAAGGACAGGGAAACCTGGCATGCTGCAGTCCATGGGGTCACAAAGAATCAGACATGACTTAGCAACTGGACAATAATACCACCAAGTGATATACTATTTGCCTGCTTTAAAGCAGAAATACAACAATAAGAACAGAATAAAATTGCAATTCAGTGTTTCCCAAATTCCCATTACTCATTTTGGAAGAATGGAGGTGGACATTCAGCAAACATGTAAATATGTGAATTAACCATTTAAAATCCATTCCTTCCAGAATACAACGTCTTGGTTTCCTGGAAAAGTGAAAAGAATTTCAAAATCAGAGTCAGTTGGTGAGTCGAGGACTATGTTCCCCACAAACTGCTGTCTTTCATAAACATAGTGATGAAAACCCAGTCAAATCACATCTAGTTTGACAGCTGATGTATAACTATACCCTTTCACAACTTATCTTTATAAAAGGCTCCCTCATTTATAATATTCATCTGGGGATTTTGGTATTTATCACTTTTTACTATCTTTGCCAAAAGGCTACATGTCTTCTGATTATACTACCTTGTTACCTACTGGAAAAATATTTTAAAAAATAAATCAAGAAGTATCCTAACTGTCGAAGGTGTCATAATGGACAGGATTTTTATCTGATATCGGCTTAAAAGATCCTTAAAAGTTACAAGAAAATTCTTTTTTGTATGTTTATTCTAATGTCTATATGTAAGAATCCACAGCAAAATCAAATTAAAATGTCTCTTATAATGAAGTAGATAATGATGTACTGAAGCTATGTCTGGTAGTAATTATGATATAATGGCATGTTGTAAGATTATAGCAACATTTGTTCAGCAATAGAAACTAAAGAGGACTTTGATACAATTCTCTTCAGAATAGGCATCATATTTGCCTT